ATAGAACTTTCAAGATTGAGTTGAATGTGATTGAGCATAGATGTATTGATACAACAACAAGTTAAGAAGAGTGGTTCTAGAACTACCGTCTTGGGCATATCAGTTTTATAGATCTCAAAGCATTTCAAAGGAATGAAATTGTAGCCAGGTTGCCATCCATCAACATTCCAACTGAGATTTGCGAAGAGTGTGTGTAAGAGAAGCAACATAAGGGTAAATTCAGCAAGGAACCAATAGTTGCACTCTCGTCTTGTGAGGTAGAGTATATTACCGATTTGTTATGTGTGTGTCAAGTCGTGTGGATAATGAATCTATTGAAAGAGTTTAGAAACAATGAGGGTAAACCTGTCACACTCTTGGTTGATAATGTTTCAGCCATTAATCTTGCTAAGAATCTAATTGCACATGGGGGAGCAAGCACATTAAGATGAAGTTTCACTAATCGAGGGAGCTTGTTAGTGAAGGTAAGTTAAGATTGGGATATTATAAAAGTCAAGACTAAGTTGCTAATTTGTTGACTAAGGGGGTCATAAATGATGTGTTCAAAAAGTTGAAGATAAACATGGGCATGGAAGACTTGAAGCACTTGAATTAAAGTGGTGTGTTAGATGAAATTCTGATAATTCAAGTGCTGTAACCGGTTAACACGAAAGTGTAACCGGGTACAACTGGAAGAAAAAGCACTTATAGAAGCAAGAAAAACACTTTTGAGTTGGCGTTAATTGGTTATGCATACGCGTTAACTGATTACTCCTGACTGTTTTTAGTTTTTATTTTTGCTATGTGTAACCGGTTAACAGTTTGTGTTAACCGGTTACGAGCCTGATTGTTGGCTTTTTCTTATACTTTAGTTGTTTGTTTTAGGTCTCAATAATTGTGTAACACCTATATAAATGTCTTGGAGACATCTTCATCATTAGCTAATGTAATTAGTGATTCTCACCCTCAATTATATATATATATATATATATATATATATATATATATATATATATATATATATATATATATATATATATATATATATATATATATATATATATATATATATATATATATATATATATATATATATATATATTTCTCTCTTCTCCATCACTATCTTCTTCTCCACATAATCTTAAACCCTCTATTGTTCACCAATTGTATGATTGCATGTTCCAACAGGGAAAAACTTTATCTAATCAAAATTGTTCTAACAAAATATTATGGTCTATATACATGAATTGACAACTAGAGGTGATTTTCCTAACACAATTAAATGATCTTAAATTACTAGACATATCTACTCTTTTGGAAAGCTTACAGAGCATGCCACACACATTAAAAAGACATGAAACAAGTGAAGCAAATGTGAAAAAGAAATAAAAGGTTAAGGGTGCGTTTGATTTACAACAGAGTAAGTACTAGAGAAAACACTACAGTACAAACCTTTAAAGTATTGGACAATTTTTTGTCTATTACGATGTTTGACAGACAATGAACAAGACAAATAAAAAACATTTTTTTACAATAATATCTTATATAAATGTAAATTTAATAGAGGATGAGGAGAATGAGGATGAGAGAGAGGAGAGAGAAAAAGAGAATATATTATTTTAATAGAAAATCAAAACTTATTTTTGTATTTTAAATAATTTATATTATGAATAAAAAGTTGATATGTGGTTTTGTGAGAGACAAAAGTTTTAGTTTTTGTTCAGTCCCTAATCCTAATTTTTGTCGTGTCATGTGAATAGTTTTTAAATAAAACGCTAGACAACTAGAGTTGTGATGTCAAGTCCCTTATTTTTTTAGTAAATCAAACGCTTCCTAAAGAGGAAAACAAAAACATATCCTTAAAGGCCTCCACTTCCAAGGCTAACTTAGAGAAAGATGAAAAGAGTATCGTGATAATTCTTCTAAAGAAAATGAAAATATGAGTTTATTTATAAGATGTTACAGCAAGTACATAAAGAAAAACGATAAAAAACATTCAAATAAAAATCTTGTGAAATTCATAGAATTTAACCAAACAGAAAAACGAGAGGATAAAAGAAGGAAAAAATGCAAGTGACCTATCTTGAATGTGGTAAATCAGGACACTGCAAAAATGATTGTCCAAGCTTGACAAAATACAAAAACAATCAATTATTCTATAAGTCCAAGAGTCAAGGAAAAGGACGAAAAATATACATTGCATGCGAAGAAGATGAAGATTCATCCTCTTCTTATACAAGTTCAAATGAAGAAGTGACTAATCTTCATTTGATGACACACCACAAACAAATAAACTTGAAAGTAAGTGATTCTGACACATATTCTTTATCTTTTTATAATGAGTTGTTTAAAATTTTTAATAAAATGCATGTTACAATCTTAAATGCTTTTAAGAAAATCATCTCCCAAAAGAATATGTTTAAAATTTAAAAGTGTTTTAGAGTTCTTAAAAGAGATCATGCATCTCTTGCTAATGATCACTTGTGTATTTCTAATATTTTAGAAAAAAGTAGTCGTAGTTGAGTGCGATACTTGTCCTAATTTAAAATTTGAAATTGATTAATTTGAAAGGACAATTAACACCACTTTAAAAATTACCTGGATTCACTTTAATGAGTCAAAGTGATAAAGAGAAAAGTTTTGGAAAACCTAATAAGAAAAATGTCAATGTCACTATAAAAAAATAGAAAGAGTATTTCTCCTATAGGAATTTATCATTATTGTTGCGAAAAAAAGTTTATATAAGACCCCAATGTTAGATAAGGTTTTTAAATATTTTGAATTATATCACAACATGGACACTTCAAGACAAGTGAATGAGTACATGTGTCAATTCATTCATATCTAGTGCAAGAAGTCCAAGAATCATAAATAAAACAAGTCTAATTAGTGGATCTTCAATACAAGTGAATGAAGACGAGTTATACCATATTTTATGTTCTGTGTTACTATATAAATTTGTGTTGTATATTAATTTTTCTTGTGCAATAAATTACATAATAGAAGAACTTAATTGGTATGATGGTTCTAATTCCTTAATTTTACTTGCATTTTTCATCTTAATTTATGATTGTTTCAATTTCTTCATTGGTACTTCCTCCGTAACGATTTATAATTAAATTTTATTTTTTAGATTTATTAAATAATGAATATATCTAGTCTATATATAAATTAAATATATTAATTATTCAACGAATCTAAAAAGTAAAATTTACTTATAAATTATTACATAAGAGTATAATTAATCGTCTAATATAACTTTAAATCACACTAAAATACGATTTAACTAACATCTGTAAAATTTTACCTCAATCACATAACGACTTAGATGTCAAAGTGTTAACTTCTTATTTTTTTTAAATACCCTTTCCTTGGATCACCACATTTTCAATTATATTTTTATATATATGATAATGAGTCTCTATTTAGTAATCTTGCATATTCATTCAATATTGTCTTTCTCTCTAATATGATATATTTGAGTCGAGGGCTGAAAAAAAGACAATTATTTGACATGAAGTAGTAAATAAAAATAAAATAAAATAAATAAAATGGAAAAAAAATTTAATATTAACTATGTACTTTTAGATTCGATCGAATTACAAAATTTGATATTAAATATTAAAATAAGTATGACTTAACATGAATAGAGTTTAAAGGTAGTGTGAAAAATTTAATTTGGGAGATTCACAGCCTCCTTTATTGATTGATAGTAAGAGCATATTCTTTTTTCTCATCTAAATAAGCTATTAATTTTCTCTTTTATAAATGTTGTTATTAATTTTGTATAACTAATATTTTGTGATTAATTTCACATAAAATAATAAATAAACTAGGAGATCATTAAACAAAGATATAAGATATGATAAAAATAAAATTATTAAAGTAAAAAAGAAAAAGAAAAAGGAAAAGCCATGACATTGGAATAGGTAGCTTAATCTAATAAAAGAGAATAAACAAAAAAACTTGTCTAGACTCTTCTTTGAAAACCTAGCGAGAACCGGTTGTTCTTCCGCCCCAGCTCACGGTACTGTTCCAATTCCTCTACTCGATTTCCATTAGGTTTTCTTCTTCATCAATTCAATCCAACTGTTCTTCAAAATTAACATGTTCCCGATTCAATCCTCGTTTCTAATTGTGACAATTCGCCCTGAAAAATCTAGGATGCTATTAGGTTTTGTATAATTCGTGTTTGAGAAAATCTTAGGGTTGTTGGGTTTTCTTAAATTTGGGATCGTTATAGATTACATAGATACATGTTCTTGTGTGTGTATTGATTGAGTCAGTATAAATATTGAATTTTTATTAATTTGGGTGAATTTTGAATTTTTGTGCAATCTTAATTTGTTCTGCTTAAGGGGAAATGTGGTTGGGGTTAAATTAAATGATGATACCTGGACACACATCTGCAATTGAAATGGTTGATTTTATCTTTTTGTTAATATGTATGAGCTGTGAAGTTTTTGAGGAATTGTGATCTTAGGGGTGAAATACAGGTTTATTTGTAGTAATTGTTATCAATGTATGTTTATACTTCTGATGTGTGTTATTTGTGTTATTTCTTTGTAGTGAATTTGGAAAAGCTTTTACTTGGGTAAGTATGGACTTTCAGCATGATATCTGTTTTGCTTTACATGTCTATCAAAACAAATATGTCCATATGTCAATAAACAAAAGATTCATATAGTTGATAAACTGTTACATACTTATCAGAATCTCTTATGAATTAAGTTCTAGGTTGACCGATTGTATGAAAAGGGTTCCACACCTTATCATCTATATGTGCTTGTTTACTTTCATGTTGTTGCTATAATGCTCACGATGTAGAACAATTCTCTCTTTTTTTGTTTGTTTTTGTTTTGTTAATAGTGCTATTTTTCATTTCAATCATAATATTGTCGTGCCTTTTGGTTTACAAGGAATCCTATTCTCTTAGCTTCTTGCTTGGGGTTAATTGGGTTCATTAACTTGGACTGGTTAATTCAACATCATGTACTAATGCTTGTTTTATGCAGTTTAAAATGTCAGATGAAGATGAGTTCCGTTGTTTTGTTGGTGGCCTTGCATGGTCAACATCGGATAGAAAGTTAAAGGATACATTTGAAAAATTTGGCAAGCTTACGGAGGCTAAGGTGATAAATATCAAATTAATGTTGTCATTTTATCTTATTTAATGATTGTACCTAGAAATTGGTTTATGCTGCACTTTTGGCTTGCATCTATCTAGACAAGAAATTTTATCCTTGTTCATTTTTACGTTAGAAGAAATTTTTCAATATTTACTAAACCTTTTAATTAGAAAACCATGTAAACAAGATAAAAAGAAATCAATGTAGTATGGTAAAAAATCAAAGGTGTTTTCTAAGCATTATAATTGATTTGGACAATGGAATTGTTAATATTCTCTTTAATTTCATTTTGTAATTAGGTGGTTGTTGACAAATTCTCTGGACGTTCTCGTGGTTTTGGATTTGTCACATTTGATGACAAGAAAGCAATGGAAGATGCTATTGATTCTATGAATGGGATAGATTTAGATGGCCGAACTATCACAGTCGACAAAGCTCAACCTCACCAAGGATCAGCTAGAGATGCCAGAGATGACGGTGATCGTTACCGAGAACGTGGTCGTGATCGTGGTGACCGTGACCGTGACCGTGACCGAGGTGGGCGAGGATCCAGTGATGGAGGATGCTTCAATTGTGGTAAACCTGGTCATTTTGCTAGGGAGTGCCCTAGTGAAGGTGGAAGAGGAGGGAGGTATGGTGGTGGCAGAGAAAGTAGATACGGTGGAAGCGGTGGTGGTGGTCACTATGGTCCAGATAGAAACGGAGATCGTTATTCTGGAGGTCGTAGCAGGGACGCGGGTAGTCGTGGAGATTCTGGAAATGATCGTTACTCCCGTGATCGTGATCGTGCTGGACCATATGAACGACGTGGATCTGGAGGCTTTCGTTGATATACTTTGGTCTTTTCATCGAGGTATTGTAATGTTTATTGATCTCTCCTTTTTCCACTGTTTTCTTGATTCTAATGAAATTGTAATTGTGATTTTTTGCAGCTTTGAAATCAAAGAGGTTGCTGTTGATGCTTAGCTTTCTTTTTTCGTTCACAATGTTCAGGGATTGTTGTTTGGATGGACCAATGATACCGGTGTTTTGAAATGCAATACTTGGCACCTTTGTTAGACTAATTAATGTTCCTATATGCTGATCTTTTGGTCTGTTGAAATCTAATGACATACCGTTGAATTCGATGTTGTGCTCTATGCTATCAATAATTGCCGCTGGTTATCTTGTGATTTGTGACTTTCATGCATGTGGAGTTGTATGACTGTTTTCCGCGGGATTACCTGATTCTGTTTAACGAGGTATTGGAATATTTTGTGGCTTTGGATGGATGCCGAATTGGGTATACTGTTTCTGGATCTTTGGGAAAGTGGTCAAGCGGGTAAATTATTAAATATTCACGTTATATGCATACTTCATCGTCACTAGATTTCAGACTCAGTCGTTGCTTTATTAATGTTATTGACCTTTTGGCAGGATTCTTGGCTAAATGTGGTCTTTTTGGGTTCATCATAGGGTTCCTTTGTTGCTAACTGGACATGCATGGTTTTTAAAACTAAAACAAATAAAATATTTTCAGCTGCAACAGGCAATCTGCAATTGCTTGCACTCAATATGCATTACCACCCTTGTTTTCTTCACGGGCTTAGATGAAATTGGTTCCTTTTTCCATGATTGTGGCTCGTTATGTGGATGATCTTGATGAGTTGAGCAACTGCAACCCATTGTTTTAATAAGCTATTGCTCTATTTGGTGGAAGATTGCTCTCATCAAACACTTTACCTGTGGCCTGTGATGCTTTGTTAGCGATGATCTGGTTTGTCTTACTATAGAACGGTTGTCAAACCCGAGCTTGGTCCTAAATTTCCACTCTTCCCTAGTATCAGATTTGATATTGCCACCATAATAAATGTTCGCCCTATTTGTCTATCATGGTGTGTGCTACTACTACTTTTCTGTTTCTGTTGTCATCATAATACTTGCTTAGCTCCTTTCAACCTGAATTTCATTTCTTCGGTTAATCACGCACAGTGGTAGTTTTGATTGATTTTGTATTTTGATTTGATTTTAGAGCATAGAACAAACTGAATGTATGTGCTCAAGTACCCTCTTATCTTCATCATTAATTGTGTATACCATGTAGGGTGTATAGCTATCATTGCATTTAGGAGGGTGAAATCGTGAGGATTTGGATGCACCTTTATTTGTGCACTAGAGGATTGTTCACTTAATCACTTCAAAAAGCTTTATCCTTATTTAGCCTTTTAAATGTGATTTCTCAATTTATTGGCTGATGCAACTCTATTTATGCACTAGAGATATAAACTTTTGAGTCTAAATTTGTTTGGGTGGGTTTATTTGTTTTGCTGACCTTAGTTTGTTGAAGCATCTTCTTTTCTTAGAAATTAGAATACTTGTTTTATGACGAGGTTAGTTTGATTTTCTCTCTTAATTATCACTCATGGGCTGAGCTGAACCCGTGTCAATCAAATCTATTATCCAGTGCAGTCAAATTTCATTAGTTTGGGATGGGACACATTTATTTTCCACGTCAACCCAGAACACAATTCAATTCGGTGATAACTGATAACTGACTTGGTTTGAGTCTCTGATGATTGGGTGGATGGGACTTATTTTTTTATATTTAAAGTTGTAACATAGGCGATATTGTCTTGTTCCATGGTCTTAACAAATTTCACATTTTCTGAACATCTTAACCATTAATGTCTATATATAATAGTTCACTTTTTTGAAATTGTACATAAAAATTAGGGTTTAATGGATATGCATTGACAATGTAAAATTTATACTGTCATTTAATAGTAAATCAATAGTCTGTCATGTTTTGAAATAAAAGGGTGATGTATTTTGATATATAATTGTAATTGGTTGATAGTATAAAATTAATTTATATTGTTAGTGTATTATTCATTTTCTTTAAAAAAAACTCAAAAAATAGTAATATTAAAAATATCTACCAAAATTGAAATATCTAATTTTGTAAGAATTAGAAACGTAACTTAAATATTTTTTTTTACACTTTAAGATTCCTTAGAAATTGGGTAGACCTTTTACATTTTAAGAGAGTTCATGCGAGTTACCATCAAGTTTTTTAGGGTGGAATTTGCTCTCATTCATAAACAAGGAGCACCGGTTATTTTGTCAACCGTAAAGCAAGTTTGAATTCAGTGTAGAAAAATGAGAGATGACTGCAAAAAAAGGACAACATAGGGTCCAACTCTTCCTGTGATTGTAAAGTTACAACAATGATTTGTTGATCTTTTCGTTTAAGAGAGTTTCTTTTTACACTTAGTAGTCTTTTTTGCAGATTTTTGGCGAAAAATTTAAAATATTTTCAGAATTCCGATATGCATATTCGAATGTACCGTATTTGTTAAGAAAAGGTGTGTTTGCATGTGTATATCCGAAGTCATTTTATTTTGTCAATAAAAGGTAATTTCGCATGTGCATTTCAGAACAAATCCCATAATTTAACACTTCAAATGTGCATATTCAAAGTCATTTAATTGTTATTAGTAGCACGAACAGAATATAGAATCCATTTCTTTACGAACTCATAAATCTCATTTCTACTCAAAACCTTAATTTCTACTACTCAAACTTGGATAATATATTAATTTCTACTCATTCCAACTCATCTCTTCATTTCAAGTCATTCAAACTCATCTCCTAATTTCAAGTCATTCCAAAGTTTCAAATTTGTGTAAATTTTCTCTATTTCAATTTGATTCACTTTGCAATGATATATTAGTTTATTAGGTTAGTTAGAATTAATGATATTGTGTAGGTTGATGTTAGAGTAGTTAAATGTTGGTGTTTGGGTGATAAAATGAGGTGGTTTCAGATGTGCATATCTGAAACCCCCCTTGATCAGTTTCGGATGTGCACATGCGAAATCTCACCTGATTTGTTTTTTTAAATTAATATATTAACAATTATTATTTTCAGAAAGATGGGGCGATTGAATGGATGGTCGAATATCTGAGAGCTGATCCATATAAGGCAGCTGAGGACTGCAGAATAACTAATGGGTCGCACACAAAGTTCTCCTCCCTGGAAGAACTACATGAGAAGCATCTGGTTGCAATATCAGGGGCCGAGGATGAGGGTGACAAAGTTTTTGTTCAGTATCACTGAGATTGTGCTTTGCGATGTTATTTCATGTTCTTGGTTGACACGTCAATCTTTGTGGATAAAAGTACAAACTACGTAGATACGACATACCTCTGATATTTTATGGATTTGAGTACAATTCATGATTGGAATTGGGGGCCTACATTTTGGTAACCTCTACCATAAGCAGAATTAAGCTTCAAACTGGAGGACGAGGCAGTTCGCTAGCTCTTGCACATTTCTCACGGTACCTTTCATTCCAACTATTACATTTAATTTATTTTTTTATAATTTGCACTTAATATTATCTGATTTGTGTTTCAGATCTAGATAATCTCCCACTTCCACCACATTCATGGTTTCGAGCGTGATCCGACTTATACTGACGATATGCTGAGGGCTGCAAAGTATGTTCTCCACAGAGGGAATCATAAAGTATCGTCTTATCGGGTGTATCTTGATCGTACTAATCACAATGATATTAAATGGACGCCATTCAAGGATTACAATGATGTTTACCCATTCAACTCTATCTCATTATACTCCAGGTGGCTAGTATATGGGTCGAATCTTATGGTCAGGTATCTTTTGGAGCGGTGCATCTGACAATTTGGCTATGTGCAGAAGATACCGAGATCTCCTTTTCAGGTTGCTCCCGACACCATTGTCCGCCAAAAATTCAATGGCGTCTTCTAGGATTGGGAGAATCATTTGGTGCTACAGGAGTATCAGATGATGTCGACATTCCAGAGCTGGCATTGTGTAAAGAGATACAGGACATGGTTCTTTAACGTGTCACACCCTATCAGGACATCAGATGATCCAGGACGTCCACCTAGGCTAGCTCATGAGGAGCTCTTGGAGAATCAGTAGGCCGAGGATGACCATGCCACTGATCTCTTGTCGATCTGTCAGCATACACTTACTTGGGTAGGAGGCATTGGATTCCAGGATTATTGAGAGGGGCGGTCCTGAGGCGGTTGCCATCGTTGGGAGGATGGTTATGGAGGCATCCAATGCGGTACAATATAGGAGGAAGAGAAGGTCACAGGGGGTTAGGATTAGACATATGCAGTAGCAGTAGTCTATGTTATGTTTTTTACTGATGTAATACTTTGATATTATGCACTTTCTGAATAACTTATGTATTATATTATGTTTTCCTAATTCTGAACATATAATCTAATTGTTATGTTCGTATTCTTATGTTCATTTAATTTTTCATCCAAATCGTATCATTTTATGTTTTCCCGTTTGTCAGTTTATTAGGTAGAGGTAATGATGATGTGTTAAACAAAAATGACACAAACAGAAGTAGTTTCAGTTATACACATCTGAAACATCTGTTGACATAACTGCATGTGGTTTCGGATATGCATATCCGAAACTACCTATAAAATTTCAAATCCAACGTTTAAGTATTAAAATGTGAAAAAAAGGTGTCTTTGAATATGCATATCCGAAACATGCTGAGAGGTGCGTTCAGATGTGTATATCCGAAGGATATTTTTGCATTTTCAGAGGTGAAAATCAACACTACTAGGTGTACAAAGAAATTCTCTTCGTTCAAACATCCTCATTCATCATTCAATGGTTAATTAATTAAAAAAATACAAAAAAGAAAGAAAAAGTCACAACAATGATTTGTTGATCTTCTTGTTCAACCGTCTCTTCTTTTATAATTCAATGATTAATTGATTCACAAAAAAATAATACAAAAAAGACAGAAAATGGATAACTGGTTGAGATTGGGAAAAACAAATAAAACGAGATAAAAAGTATTCGAAGATCCAAAGTCAACCTTATCTATTTCTCTCCCATTACCTCTACACGAATTGGCATGAAAGAGAAGACATAAATGTGGTATTTGTGTTTAAGATCTGATTTCATTTGATTTGTTATCGGTATAATCCCAAGCCACTTTTTTGTTTTATGAGTTTCCTTTTCTCTTTCTAAAGAAAGGTTAAAACACAGGAGGAAAAATGTGATCGGTATGAGTTTAGGCCTCCAAGTCGTGCTAAGGTGCATGACACTAGAAATTATGTAAACATTCATAGATTTTGAACCAATTTCAAGGGTTGATGCTATTTCCTTCAAACATTTACATTATGTTTGGTTGGAGGGTTCACTAGGAGAAATTGTCTATATTTCTCAATGTATTGGATTTGTTTGTAATTTTTTTTGTGGAGTTTTTGATTTTGGTCTGTTAGATATATAAATGTGTGTGGGAAAACTTTTCCCTTCAAGCTAGGGTTTGGAATGAGATCCAAATTCATTGATGTTTTTGAAGTTGTATTGAAGTTTCACATTACTCAAATTTTCTGGATGTTGAATGTATAAATATGATTATGTATCCTCACCATTTAAGTTAGCTTTTAAGATGAGATCCAAACTCTTGTAAAAATAATGACAGAAAAGTTTTTGGCTCAAGGCATTTAGATGAAAGTTGAGAACGATTTGAATTTGAATTGTTAGGAAAAGGTGAAAAATGAAACTCATAAACTATAACTATTTATATTTGAATTGTATCTTTTGGAAAGAAGTACAATATCATGAAACATTGCCATGATTCATGAATGAAGTTTGGAAATTTATTGAAATCAAAATGAGTTTTGAAAATATGGTACTAGTTTAGTGGTAAACAGTTACCAATATAGTATAATCAATTACAACTGTAGCTGATAAAGTATTCAAATTTTTTGTGGCTGTAACCGGTTACAAGGTTTAGTTAACTAGTTACAATTGTAACTTTTCATAAAATATTGAAATTTTTCGATCATGTAACCGATTACAGTTATTTGAAAATGCTCAATAACAACTTGTAACAACATTGTTTCAAATCAATGATTTTAAAAACATGCTAGGATGCTTAGTGATGAAAAATGCAATTTTGTTCTAAGCTACTAAAGTATTGTACAAAGCATAATTATAACTTGTACCTTATACTCATGATCAATTCATCAATGTCCAATGTCCTTGAAGATTACTTGAGTACCAAGTCTTGTCACAAAAGATTCTTTGAAACTTTTAACTTTTTCCTTCTTTGATATCGCATTTGAGCTTGATTCTTTGTCTTCATCAAAACACAAAAAAATGGTGGAAGTTTGTCTTCTCAAAAAGGCCTAGCAAGATCAACCCAACACAAAATATTCAATCTAGATTTTCTTTCACAGGAAAGCAATGAACACATGGTTCCTCGTCAAAAGACCACACACTAGATTTGTGCTACTAGCTCATCACTATCTGTCATATCTAATTAGACGGCCTCCAACACTCCATGTTAGACTAAACTAGGACAATTTTAACTATTTATCAATGTAAGCTCCATCACGCACCATAAAATGTTACACCCTATGACCTTAGTGGCTTGGGCGTTGGAGTTCTAACCATGTAGGCACACCCCCGCTCCCAACACATTGGAGGATCGCACCACAATACTAGAAAAAGTCCTTCCTTCCACATCACCAATATCCCGTTCTACACTAGAGTAAATCCAAAACTTATTTAACATAACAAAGGAGGAGGGAAGACAAAGAACAATGTTAATAAATTTTTAAAGAGTTTTGTGTTTGTATAGAGTGAAGAGTATATATCCTAATGGAGAGAACGCATACAATTATATTTCTTATTTTTAAGTATTTAAGATAACACCAATTATAAAACTTTTAAATCTAAATTAACAATCCCCCCCTTTTAAATTTCTCCATTTTAGAGGGGAATCAAAATTATCTTTTGAGGGATTTTATTCCCTTATTTTTCCTCTATAAATATCAAACCAAACCTCAAAAGTTTATAATACTCTCTCACAACCCCTCCCCTCATTATCTTTAAACACCAATTTACAATAATAAGAGAGTGGTCAATAATATATCAAGTTTTCATAGAAGATATGACATCCAATTCATTTTGCTTAGCTAATTTTCAACAATAAATTTTACTAGCTCGAGTATAAGAAGCGTGTTCATAAATGGAAGAAACATTGAGAACATTTTTTGGCAGGAATTATTATAGTTATCATAACTTAACTCACATGATAAAGGAAAAGGGGCCAAGGAATGGTGAGTTGGATGTGTATGAGGAGAGGTGAAAAGATAACAATGATAGTTTTTGAGTTATCCTGATTTAGTAATGGTTGGTGAGTATTGATAGTTTCAAGGCCAAGATGATCAACATGAAACTAAAGTAGTGTAGTAGTAACGACAATAGGTTTAAAAGTGACAAAAGAATATTTAATTTCATAAAACTGGAAGAGCTAGTTTAAGAAACATTCTTATAACAATTTCAGGTATGAGTTTGTAGAATGTATAAACCCCATGTCTTTTCTCTATACCCATCATTGTTTAGGATGTAGTCTCCAAAATTGAACAAGATTTAGCAGTTAAGATGACACATACATTAAGAGAAAAAATAATTTTTGTTATAGAAATAAGGTTCACAATGAAGGAATGAATACAATAAACATTGTGCAAAATAATGTTAGAAGACAATGTAAGTAAGCCACAATTTATAACATTGACAGTATTACCATTTGGAAATTCCATAATAAAAGGTTGAATAGCAACATAATTAGTGAAATTGTTCAAAAGATCCAATAATGTGATGTGTGTTTGGAACCTCTACTTAAAATACAAAGAATATTATTCTTACACAAAAAGGAGAAGAAATAAAGTTTAAATAGGGAGTTTGAGATACCGCATAATGTGAAATAAGTTCTCCATGATTTTGGTGGGAGGTGGATATATATGAATTTCAATGTTGAGAATGTGATGATATTAGTCTTGAGTGGTAGAAAGGGTAGGATTGATCTTGTTTTCATTATTTTGTCTAGGTTGGAAAAAATTAAAATATGTGGAAAGATTGAGGTTGGATGAATGTCGTCTTTGATGAAAAAATATTTAAGTTAAATTTATTATTTAAAAAGAATTTGAATAATGTGTGATACGGTGGGAGAACTGACTTGGGTGTTTTGCGTTTGATCGCAAGTGTTGCGGTTAGCAAGAGTCGCCACCGACTTTTCTTTTATCCAAAAGGAAAGGTGAAAAAGCACAGAAAAGACCTTTGAGATTGTTTCTTGAGTTCGGGGGGTAGATTATGAAAAGAGAAGGTATTAGCACCCTTTTCATCCATGGTTTTCCATGGGCTCTTAGTTGCTTGCTAGATCACTTGCTTTTGTTTGAAAATGTGCTTTGTGTGGTTTTTTGAAAGTATTTTGAAAAGGTGTCTTCTTTGTAATGGCTCTCGTTTCTATAAGAACACATACAAAGTGTTGTTTCGAAAATAGTTCAAAGAGGTGTTTGTGGAATGTGTTTTTGAAAGAGATTTTGAAAGGGTGTC